AAAAATGTATGTAGAAGTGCACGTACACACTAAGGTCGGGACCAATGTGCGCAAACGAAGGAAAGGATGAGATGACCAGACATGAAGACAGGAGGACATCAAAGAAAAGAGGAAAACAAAAGTGTGTGAAGGGGAAGGGATGAAAGGGGAGGGGACGAGAACCGATGAAACCAAACCTCATTAGAAGCACCTAGGGACCTGCCTCGTTTGAATGTAAGCGCTGTGTGTGCACCTGAGATTGGGACAGGTTCCAATGAACCTTAAACTTGCTTTGACCGCTATGGTCACCTTGTGCCCTGCCGAAATGGCTGGCTGCTTTGACCGCTGCGGTCACGTAAAGGCATGAGCCAACTTGGGTTCTAAAAGGAGACAAATTTGGAGTGCTTGTGGCATGAGCCAGCTACTGTCCGCTGCGGACACGTATATCTCCGAGCAGGGGAGATAACGACAGACACCCGTTCGACGGGTCCACGGGAGGCACTCTACGGCTCATCCCGGACTGGCGCGAGGCCAGACACACTTGTGGATATGCGTACTGATTGACAGCGGTGTCACACGCCAGCCTAAGAAACCCAAATCCTGAAAGGTCCAGGGAGGTCCTAACGAGCCTGGGGGTCTGTAAGAGGAAGTGAGGCCAAAAGCATAAGCACCAAAACGACGAAGTCGGAGCGACAAGATGACGGCGGTCCGTGCACATCTGCCGAACTCATTAGCCCTTTACGAGAAGATTGGAGTGAAAGCTTGTCAACGCCACAACCAAGCAGGTACGTGGATTCTGCGTCCAGAATCCATATCAGTGACTTGTAACAGCCTCTTCGTTGGACTGCCACTGTTACAAGCCAGGCAGTCCCCCTGCTTAAAATAAACGATGTACAATTCAAAAGAATCCCTGTGACTACAAGGGGCACACACACTCACTTAGATCAGGTTTATCCAATGTCATAACCCACGAGGAAAGGAAAGCTGCAACGGAATGGTGGCTGAGTCGGCGGAATTGAAGGTGTTTCAACAATGTGTTTCGAAGAGTCGCTCAGAGTCTGCGGCGGCGCGGCTGCAGCCAGTGGATGGGTGGGTTTTGGGGGCGATCGTGAAAAAACCATGGAAACAAACCACAGCAGTTACATGAGAGTGATCAGCTCTCACTTCCCTCGATACGCTGTAGCTTCGTTGCGTCAGGTAAGTGTATCGAGCCTGACGCCTGTGCTTTGTGGGAAAATGAAAGGTGGAAGGGAACCCTCCTGGAAACGGAGGGTGGCACACACAACTGGCCGATCATCGGCGCACTCGTGTGGGAACGGAGCGCTCTATTTTGCGCCTCTCAAAACCTGAATAGGCACCTAACAAGCCTTAGAATAGAAAAGAAAGGGGAAAAGAACAAGAGAAACGACGAGGGCAAGAGACAAAGATAGGTGTTCTGGCGTGCATGTCTGCCGCACGAGCGCAAATTACGGGGTCAAAGCCTGATTCGCCACCTAACGAGCCTTAGGAAAAAGACAGAAAGAGGAAAACGCAAAAGGCGAGGGAGAAAGATAGGAGTAGCGAAAAATGGTGACTACTTAGCACTTGAATACTTAGCCCTTGACTAAGAGGAAAACACACCATTACAAACCTAAAAAGCCTCTAGCAAAAAGGCAGACCTAGAAAGACAAACGAACAGGCAAGAGAGAAAGAAACAAATCCGCGGGGCAGGGAAACGAGCGTCAAGAACCACCTAACGAGCCTAAAAGAACACCCGAAAAACGAAGAAAGCGCAAGAGAGAAAGCAGGGGGAGGGGAAAAAGGTGTATGCACATGTGTGTGTATACCGCATAGGTCACCGTGAACGCGGCCGCATGAGTGTCGGGTGATTCATAGGTGAAGCAAGGCAATCCAAAACCAAATCCAACGAATGCAGAAACGCGGAAAATCAATCCAAAATCCCACTAATTTCGCCCCGTGCGGGGATCACACTGCGCACCCGGGTGGGGAAGCACAGCGGGTCATACTTAGATCAGGTTTATCCAACGTCATAACCCACGAGGAAAGGAAAGCTGCAACGGCATGGTGGCTGAGTCAGCGGAGTTGAAGGTGTTTCAACAATGTGTTTCGAAGAGTCGCTCAGAGTCTGCGGTGGCGCGGCTGCAGCCAGTGGATGGATGGGTTTTGGGGGCGATCGTGAAGAAACCATGGAAACAAACCACAGTGGCGAAGGTTGGAGTATGTCACGCAGCAGTTACATGAGAGTGATCAGCTCTCACTTCCCTTGATACACTGTAGCTTCTTTGCGTCAGGTAAGTGTATCGAGCCTGACGCCCTGCTTTGTGGGAAATGAAAGGTGTGGAAACGGAGGGTGGCACACACACACGCATATATATATATATACACATGCTGTCAGCATCGGTCAGCATATCTATAATTGCACATAATTGCAATTAACTGCTCATATGCATGTGTAATCAGGTGTGCTACAATATACATTGCATCACAAAGCCTTCTTACACTTCATGGTAAATTTTCCTGTTGACTTCCCACCTGTGGTGAGCATGGCACAACATAACATCGGCGCAAGGGTGAGAGGTGCTCTAAAAGTTCACTTTCTTCAGACCACTTCATAAGCACACTGACATTCAGAGGTGTGCTGCTGATCAAGTGTTTTTGGGATGCAGCTGCATGAACAGAACGGCTAAGCAAGTCATGTTGAAATCCGCTAGTATTATATAATTCTCAAACGGTGTCAAAACGGTTGCCCTCCCTTTGCGTTTGCATAGTGGGGCATACTGACAGCACCTGTCCTGTCATTCAGTCCTCATGGAGGATTGCATTTGGGCCCTTTCATGTTGTTGCGAATGTGTAAGAGGGTCCGAAGCTCTTGTGACCTTTTGAAGCGGTTCAAGAGCCCACACAGAGTTATGCAACATAGTTCGAGGCGTGCATTTTGCATGTTTGTGCACGTGCTTTCCGCCTGTGATCGATGCGTAGTTTGTTGGCAGCTGAATGGCGAGGTTTTTGGAGTTGGCATAAGCCTAAGCAAGCTTCAAAGATGCCTGGGCATCGCAAAAAGACATTCAATTTTGAATTGCGTGGCCGTCGCCATGCAGCTCACACCACAACAAAGAAAGAAACGTGTGAAGGAAGATCTCCAATTCCATTCTTAGGCATCCTTAGACGCTAAGGCTTCTATATATAGGCAGCGAAGTGTGCGTGCGTTTGCCTTGAAGATTCGTGCATTGCCGCTCTTGTCCTCATAGGCTTGATGATGGCGACTTGGCCATGGATCATGTTGACTTTGCAAGTCGCACACCGAACTTGACGATTGGAACTCAAAACTAGAGGAATCACCTGGAGAAAGGAAGAAAGGAGAGAAGAAAACCAGAGAGAGAGAGAGGGAGACAGACGGACGGACGGACGGACGGACGGACAGACAGACAGACAGACACGGAGACGGAGACGGAGACGGAGACAGAGACAGAGACAGGCAGAAAGAAAGAAATTAAGCAAGCTTTAGGCAGGAACACTTGCGGACCCCATTGAGGCTCGTATGGAAGGAGTGTGGAGGTCCACCGCTGAAGTGACAGTCTTCCTGGATAGCCATATTGAGGTCGGACCGGAAGCCACAGAAATGCAATCAATGTGCTGCGGGTTGTTTGGCCACATGTTTTGCCTCCTTGACTGGTGAGACTCCTCGCATGTTACATGCCATGGTAATTGTTCTGCCCAATCCTTTGCCGCGGCCTTCCGCAGGCAACTAAAGGCTGGCTGGAGCCAATACTTGCGCGGATCAAAGAGGACTCGGATCAATATAGCCGGGTAATTTGCAGAAGATCAGAATCATACACCCGTACGCCGTACTGATATACTGCATTTCAATAGCCAGCCAGCCCAGTGGACTGACCCTTGCTTTGCAATGTAGGCCAAGGAACTGACTGCAAGCGCCTGAAACATAGGGGACCTTCCATTACCCTAGCAACTTTTTCATTTTCCTGCTCTCTCCTTTAGCTCCTAAGCTCATGTCATGCTACCTGCTACGTCGCTTCATCTCGCAGCGATTCCTGGATCCATGCAAAGTTATGACTGATGACCCCTTGAAGCTAATTAGGATTGCTCCTGAGAACTCTTTGACAACCATGAGAACACAGCCAAAGCGGCAGGTCAGGCGTTTGCATTCTGAAACGATTTGTCCATAACACCCCCAAAGCAGATGACTACCCTGTTTCCCCTCAACTCATCTCACTTCGCCTCCTCAACCATTTATATGTTCTACTTTCTTCTAACCTCACTAATTTGACCCTGTTATTCCCACATCCTGGGGTTCAATCGTGCTGAACCAGAGAGATCCAGAGAGACATTGAACTCATTGGCAAAATGGTTGCAACAACAAAAGCGTTCCCTGATCGCAACTCACCGGTTTGGACCCACACGTGGCAACTTCGGGTAGCTTCTCCGCCGGTCCTGCTGGTCCTGCTGGCTCAACAAAACCAAAAAACGGCTTCACTGTGCGGAGCAGGGGCCTATAATTAGGCGTTGTCCAAAACCGCAGTGTTGTTTTGGGAGGTTCTGGGCAAGTTTGGCCCTTTGACTTTGGATGCGCAGGACAAGCGCCATGTGGTCGTTCCCAGCATCGACACCATCGGGGCCGATGACTGGTCTTACAAGATCCCATCATTAGATGTCCTGTCAGACCTGTCATGTGTTCGCAGTTTGGGGTGCCACAGAAGTTTGTTCTCTCGCAAGCAGCAAGGACTTGGAGTACCGACTTGGGGGTGGGCTTGGAGTACTAGGCCGGGTGAATACAGGATACAAAAGGCACACATACTTGCTTCAGAGAAAGAAATGCGCAGCAAGGCTTTTCATGGACGCTGGGGCAGGCTTGGCTTTTTGCGTTGTGATTCCCAGCACCCTGGTCCTCTCGAAAAGGCAGATGCAAAGCACATAAAGCACAAGTGGGTAGATTGTAGATTGCTGAGAGGCAGATTGAGACGGCATAGGTCTTACAATGTCTGAGGCAATAAACCACCAGTGAGCTTGCATGAGCTTGCTAACCTCCGGACACTTGTGAAACTTAGACGTGTCGGGTTTGCGTGGATGCTGGTTTTGCGAATAACTTGAGTGCAACTGCATGCGGGGAGGCATTCCTTCTGTGCAGGACCCGTACCAGGCTGACAATGGCCCAGACGGGACTGTTCCCGCCAAGTCACCGGTCATGGCTGGTGGCCTTTTCGCTTCAGACACCCGGGAGTTCTTGCGCCTTGGAGGCTTCAGAACGAGACAACATGTTGGAAAGATATCAAGCCAACGTGTTGCAGTTGCGTTTGCTCGGACTTGTCAAGCTTTGACTTTGTTTTCAGTCGTGAGTACATTTATGAGGGCGTGTTTCTTTGTCCCTGCTGGCATTTTGCAAGAACCGCAGCCAATGACGGCTGAATGAAGACTTGCCAAAAGACACCAAAGGCAGATCTATAGGATTCTATAAGTTCAATTTAGCTTGAATGCGAGAACCTCACAAGACGCAGTATGTTGGCCAATCATATCAAGTTACCCAGGCGCATGCCACTTGTTTTTTCACCAAAGCCCATCTCCCGAGCTTCCAACTATGCATATAGTATTCAGTATTCACATTATATAAGTCACTAAATTGAAAGCTCAAAATACAAGCTTGAGATGCCCGGCGAAAATGGCACCGAAGTCAGTGAAATGGTTTGCCTGGCTCGTTTGCCCAGACATTCATAGTCCGAATGCAGTCGTCTCTTGGCAGGCAGCTCCCCATGCTGCATCGGTGATTTCGGACATGGTCGGCGTGCAGGCTGAGAACACGACTTCGTCATGAATGGTGACATTATGTTGTGCACTTTCTTTTTTGATTATTATTGTATGAGGTTGGGGTTCTATCTTAGAAAAAAAGAGCTGGCCACACTGACTGGCCGCCGCGCCCGTGAACTCTGTAGGCCGGGCTTGTGGCCGGGTCTTGTCCTCCTCTTGTCCTGCTGTTGTCCTCCTCTTGTCCTTCTCTTGTCCTCTGGCCGCGTTGACCAGCCCTGGACACACTGACTGGCCGCGCCCCTGAACTCTGTGGCCAGGCTCTGTGACCGGGTCTTGTCCTCCTCTTGTCTTCTCTTCTTCTCTTGCGGCCGAACAATTAGCGATGTCGATGCCGACAAATCATTGATAAAGCAGTTTGCACTTGGGGGGAAGGTAGGGCGTACCAAGAAACCATTTTTGACTAATATTGGTCCAACCGAATCGTCTCGATACTGTTTGGGGGTCTATGCTGGTATAACCATAAGTTTGAAGCATTCATTGACAAGCTTTGAGGAAGGAAGAGTGTGTCCATGTGGCGCCGAATTCTTTTACTGGTCCCACTGGGATTCCCACTGGCTTCAGCCGAAGTGTGAAGCCCTCCAGTTTGCTTCATCCATTCTCTTCGGAACGGCTTTGCTTTGTTGTTCTGCTTCCTCTCCTTCCGTCAGCTGCATCAGCACGGTTTGACACAGGTCGACGAAAACAGCCTGCGCGCATGCTACGACAGTTTGGATTCGGCCAGCAAGGTGTTGCGAGACACTTGGAAGAAATAGTTGGGTGAACGCAGTGATTGCAGGACACACAGAAGCATTCAACTTCGCACTGGAATCAGAGTTCTCAAGCGGGGATGAAATGAAAGTTTGGCGCCAAAACGTTGTAACAAATTGTGAACACTTGCAAATGTTGAGAATGTCTCAATACTCAACCTCTTCTTACACCAAAACAGACCGAGGATTTGTGCTCAACGCTGCAACGTGTGCGTGCGCAAGAGCCTGATGAGTGGCCAACAACTCGGTGGCCTGGTTATGAAAGCAGATACGAAAAGCAAGCATAGCATAACATAAACAAAATCCTAAAAGAAGAAAATGTATTTTCACGGTTGTACACCTGTACATACCATATGGACCTCTACGTTTGGCTCAAGAAAAGGGCGCTCTACTTGTTGGTACTTGTAGGCTCTTGGCCTGTAAATTCAGGTTATCAGCCGTATCGCCAAAGAGCGGTACGCGCCGTTGTAGCTGTGTCATCTACCCACCCTCGTACTGCGCATACTTGAGGTGGCATGGCGGAAAGGTCCTTCGAACCAATTCGAGATGGCACGGATCGATCGAGATCGCGTGTGGGAGATGCAGATGACCATGGATCACATGTGCCAACGGAAGCCTTCACCTCGGAGAATGGGGAAGATGCTTTGGTTGAAGCACGTGGGAACACGGTGCCACCGGCCTCTCCGGCAAGTGGTTTTGCGATGTCTCCTACGAGCCCAGCCTTCGTTCCGTCGGTTACGAATGTTGATTCGCGACAGGTCATCAATCAAACGGCAAGCTTCCATGATCAAAGAATGATCAATGTCAACTTGGATAAGTCAGCTGAGGTCGCACAGATGGCATAAATGCGACACAGGGAACTGATGTCCGAGAAAGATGAACAAGTAAGGAAGCATGTGGAAGCAACCCATCGCGAAGCTCATGACCATGTCAAGGAGCAACTCGAGTTACAAGAACGAAGGGCTGCATCTTGGGCTGCAAATGAACAGGCCAAGATGACTGCACACGAAGCAGATGTGAAAAACGCTGCATTGACTGAAGCTCATTTGTACAACCACAACTTGACTGAATTGCAGCAACAAGCACAAAATCGTGAATTACAATTAAGAGAAGAGTTGAGAGCTCAGACAGAGCTCATTAGGGAACTTCGACAAAAGATGGAAACATCAGCTCGAGGGAACTTTGAGCCTTCTGGACCGTCAGCCAACTTGAGAACCTCTTTGCCCGGTCCGATGGGATCGAACGAGCTACCATTGGGTCAACCATATCATCCAACGCAAAGATCGATGACCGATAGCTCAGGCGAACCATATCGTGACGCCCTTGCGAGCGGAACGATGAACGTTCCGAAGGCTGCTGGGGGTGGTCCTCCCGATCATCCCAGCTCATCGGATTCGTCTTCATCCGATGACAAGAAGAAGAGCAAGAAAGACAAGAAGAAAAAGAAGAAGGATGACAAGGAACAGAAGCGTGGTAGGTCACGCCACAAAAAGAACAAAAAGAAGAATAAAGAGGGGTCTCCTTCACCGTCCGGATCGCCTTCGTCTTCTAGCTCCTCTTCTGAGGATTCATCCTTTGCCCGTAAGGTTAGGAAGCACTTGAAAAAGATGAAGAAAGAGGATCGAGAACAAAGGGCTAAAGAAGCCGAGAAAATTCTCATCCCCAAGTTTCCTACTCCTGAAAGGTACAGGGACTGGCGAATTAAAGTTCCGGACAATGTGTCAGCGGCGTCCGCAAAGCCGGACAAGGCCAGGTTATGGCTAGGGAAGGTTTACGAGGACGCTGTGACCACTATAACGACTCCGAGGGGTTCACGACGTTGGATGCGAAACTTCTTTCAAGTCTCACGAACTGTGCAGAGGGGGACCTCGCCCGCCAATTGAACACATTCAAGGAAACCAAGGAGAAAGCAAAGGAACCCATCAAAGGACGACAGATTCTTTTGCTGTTTCATGAATACTTCGCGACATCCATAAAACACGGTGCTATATATGATGTTGAGGACCAAAATGGTGAAAGAGGACCTCAAGGGCTTTGTAACCCGATGGGAGTTTGTCATTGCAGGCATGCGAACGGAGGTTGACAAGAAATGGCTCGAAGCGTATTTTCACCTAGCTGTGAAGAATTTCAAACCTTTGAGTCACGACCTTGCCATGAACGAACGCGCCTCGGAAGGGAGTGCCGAAAAGACTTATGACTTTTTGATCAAGTCAGCGAAGGCATACCTTGAGAGAAAACGTCTTGAGAAGATGAGGGATGCCACAAAGCGTAGTCTTGGAGGTAAAGACCCTGCAGCTCCTGTCATTGACCCGAATGACAAGAAGCCAAAAGGTGTTTGTTATGAGTTTCAGAACAAAGGGACGTGTAGTAGGCGCGACTGCCCATTCAAGCATGAGAAGCCCCGTGAATCCAGCAAAGGAAGGCCCAAAGGTGGTGGAAAGGGTAGATCTTCTTCACGTGGGAGGTCGCTGACTCCAGGGTCAAGATCAGAAGTTTGTAGGTTTTGGAAATCTGGTGACTGTCACAGGGGAAAGAACTGTGCCTTCAAACATCCAGATCGTTCTTCTACTCCTGCCCCCAGCGACGACAAAAAGAAGCGCAAGAAGAAGAAGGAGAAGAAAGAGAAGAAGAAAAGAAGTACTTCTCGTGGCTCCAATGGTTCTGGCGGTAGTCAGAAATCCAAAGGTGGGAAAGGTACTCCTTCTAACCCAGCTGCTGTTTGCCTACTCCGTACTCTGGTCTTAGCGTCTGCCGTCTCATCATCGCAGTCGGCTACTATCAGTTTCCCGTTGGGAAACGTGGCCATGGTTGCTACACCTGCTACCAGCTCTTCCCCGTCATCATCAGGACCTGGGAATGTGAGAAGCCTTTCGGTTGTTGACAAACCAGAAGTTTTTAAACACGTGGTTCATGATAATTCTTTAATGTTTCCAGTTGCTGCGCGAACACAAAGCAAGCACGTCAGATTTCCCATAGGCTACAAAGGAAACACTGAAGTTTCGGAAATGGCATCCGAAGATGCATGCATTGCAGCTGATCGTTTGAGCCGAGCCGTTCAAAATGAGCTGAACGGCATCGAGGCACGATGCCGGTATCTCTGCGATTCGGAAATGGGTTTGCAAGCACTGTTTTCAAATTCAACAAGTTTCAGTGCCAGCCACTGAGATTGCATGGATTGCCGATACAGGTAGTGCAAATGATTTAGTATCTAGAGAGATGGTCAATCAGAACGAAGTCTTTGAATCCACGAAACCGGTCAGTCTTCTGACTGCCAATGGGGTGTTCCAGGCTAATGGTCAGGCAAACCTCAAGATCCCATTGTTGGGAATCACTGCAAAACCTTATGAATGTACTTGACGACAGTCCGGCAGTGATATCAGTGGGTCAGCTATGTGTTGACCATGGTTGGTCTTTCATTTGGCCGGCAAACGATACCCCTGACTTCAAGAAGCCAAATGGGCAAAAGATAAAACTTCGTGTGAAAGACTGTTCCTTATTTACCATCAACTAGTGGTATCGCCATGACTGCTATCGGATACAAATATTAAAAACATGCTTCCGGGAACGGTAGGTCTTCGTACATCCCGATTCCCACTTCACCTAGTATTGAGGAAGCGCCCCATGAGTCTGTTGAACCAGAACCCGAAGCAGTTGATGCCAGGCTCCCCCGAACCACCACCGGAAAAGCG